TTATTTAAAGCTAAATAAATACTTAAAGTTACTTCAGAACAAAATATCAACAAGAACAAAAACTTACAAATGGTAAACAATAAAAATGGTGTTACGTTCGGCGTGTGAGGCAAGCGGGGAATCAGAGAAGAGAGCCGGGAATACTCTAAAACGCGGTTTATTCAGGGCAGACAGCAGACGGCAACAAACATTAATGATGGATCTGGGGAAACTAACTCAGATGCGGACTAAATACACAGAATAGGCAGAAAATAACAGGCAACAGGTGATGTCAATTGGGAAGTAACACGAGGTAACGAGGGGGGCGTGGCACACACGAGGATCAGACGAGCCGGGCGTGACAGAACCCCCCCTCAAAGGCGCGCACTCTGGGCGCCTTTGTATACAGCAAACAGCGCTCGCCTCCGGGTCCCCCTGCTTCGGCTTGGCGTCAGGGGACCCGGAGGCGAGCGCTGTTTGCTGTATACATTAGGCGAGTTTGAGAAATGGCGGTGTTACAGACCACCCCCTGGTCTAGGGTCGGGGGGTGGGGGGGACAAAGATGGTACTGACGTGAGTGCTGCTAGTGCTGTGAGTAACCACGTAAAGACATGTTAATATTGTAAGCAGTTTTTATTCATACTAAGGTCAACACCCCAGAAACAATGGACGGCGCCAAAGCAACAAACAGAATAAAAATGTCTCTAACCCTACAAACTCTAACCTATCTGTATTACATGCCCTGGCTATAGCTACCTAGCCCTCCAAAACATACATGGGTTGGCGCCCGCCCGCTACTCCTGGTGTATCTAACATGTGTTCACCTACGGGAGGTATGTAGGTGCGCGCATATGCTACCTTAGCCCCGCATGCCCCCAACAAAACCTCAACCAGCAGCGGTCAACAGCAGGTAAGCCGAAGAACGTTCCTTTCGGTCCAGAGCACTAATATACAGAAAACCCCACCCCCACCCCACCTGCTTAATGAGGTGACATCAAATCCTCATCAGGCTGGGGGGGGGGGAACCTAAGGAAGAACATAGAACAAAAACAACAGCTTACTTGGTCAGAGTATGTGCCCATGACATGGCACGTAAAACCCCCCCACATAAAATAGCAAACCCCTAGTTTGCTCACACACATACATAAAATACAAAAAAAAAACAAAAAAACAAACGAAGTAACATAATATAGCCCGGTTAAGAGCGAGACAAAGCATCAGCCATCACATTATCGATACCTTTCTTATGTCTGATGTCTAGAAGATAGATTTCGGCTATTAAGGACCACCGCATTAACCGATGATTGTTGTTGTACATGCGGGACAAAAACACCAAGGGATAAACCACAATCGGGAGAGAGCTAGAGCACACATACACATCAAAATGCTGCAACGCCCACAACATTGCAAGAGTCTCCTTTTCAATAGTGGAGTAGGCGAGTTGGTACCTACTAAACTTACGGGAGAAATAACTCACGGGGTGATCTACTCCATGTTTGTCTTCCTGAAGTAGGACTGCACCAGCCCCCACAGCACTTGCATCCACCTCCAACTTAAAGGGGAGTGAGAAATCCGGAGCAGCAAGAACAGGCTCACTCGTCAGGAGGGTCTTTACACATTCAAAAGCATGTTGACACTCAGTTGTCCAAACAAAAGCCACCTTTGAGCTGAGGAGAAAGGTTAAGACAGAAACCGTGGCAGAAAAATTTCTGCAAAAACTTCTATAATAACCTGCCATACCAAGAAAATGTCGTAATTCACGATGAGTGGAGGGAGCAGGGTAGGCAGATATTGCAACGATTTTAGCGTCAAGGGGTCGTACTTTTCCTCTCCCTACCTGGTGTCCCAGGTAATTAACAACAGCCTTGGCAAACTCACACTTTGCCAAATTGAGAGTCAGTGAGGCACCATGTAACCATTCAAACACAACATTTAACGTTGCTAGATGACTAGACCAATCCGGAGAATAAATAACGAGGTCATCAAGGTAAGCAGAACAGTGAGGGACATCACCCAGCACCATATTCACAAGACGCTGAAATGTTGCGGGAGCATTTCGAAGACCAAAAGGCATTACGGTGTATTGTAGAAACGAATCAGGGGTTACAAAAGCTGACAGTTCAGAAGCTCGGGGAGTAAGAGGGACCTGCCAATATCCTTTTAGTAAATCCAATTTGGTAATAAACATAGCCGAACCAACGTTATCAATACAATCCTCCATACGAGGAAGGGGAAAAGAATCAGGGATCGTCACTGCATTTAACCGGCGATAATCAGTGCAAAGGCGCACAGAGCGCTCTGGCTTGGGCACCATGATACAAGGAGAACTCCAAGGGCTGGAACTAGGAACAGCCATGTCATTCTCCAACAAATAGTTCACCTCCTTCATCAAGGCTGCTCACTTTAGAGCATTAACTCTATATGCACGTTGCCTTATTGGGGTGGTAGTGGTGACCTGGATGTCATGCTGCAAGATGTGATACATACATTTTCAATATAACAGGCCAAGGAGAGATGATACGTCTCACTGCTATAACTGTCACGCTATTAAAGAAATACTTCAGTCTCATTGTCAAAAGTTAAAAGGACAGTCAGTCAACTACTGCACACTGTAACAACGTAACCTAATTACTAGCTAATTCCACTTCACTCTCGGCTTATTTAACGGCAGCAAAACTGGACATGATAGTCACGAACTTTGTCATGCTTATTTGAGTTAAGAGAACTGATGGGGATGTTCTTTTAATTGTTATTCAAGCAATGTATGTCTCGTGACCAGCTCACCATGAACACACTTCACCGATGATCTCACTCGCGGATAACTGGTTCTCTCTGCCCGACTCTGGCTGGATCAGCAGGTTGCAGGATGTGTGGCGTGTTATACATGAGTGTTGCCAACAGGGACGGTGTAGAGTGCCCTCTGGTGGACAAACTATACAACGCCAACACTCATGACATGGTTGAAGGGTGTTTCGTCCGTTTTTATTTTATTTTTGAAATATTCATTTATCGGCCATTATAAATGCCTATACCGATAGTTTGGAAAATGCCTAATATCGGCCGATAGTATCGGCCTGCCGATAAATCAGTCGGGCTCTAGAAGAAAGTGAATCATTTGATGAAGATAACCATGTTGATCAAGGGGAAAATATTCCTAACAATGATTTAGCAGGTTGTTTAAGAGACTGGGCAACACGTTTTGGTGTTTCTTTAATTGCTTTGTCCGCCCTTTTGACTATACTAAAGTTCCATCATCCCTTCTTGCCAAAAGATGCCAGAACTTTACTTAAAACACAGACTTGCCATAGTGTTGCTTCTTTGGCAAGTGGGTCATTCTATTATTTTGGCATACAGAAAATGTTCAGTCGCTTTTTTGAGAAGTTGACATCAGTTGTTCAGAATCAGCACAGTTTCAAATTACAATTAAACATTGATGGTCTTCCAATTTTTAAAAGTTCAGGTATACAGTTTTGGCCAATTTTAGGAATGCTCCAGGGTTACAGTAGAAAGCCTGTGCTCATTGCTCTTTTCTGTGGAAACTCAAAGCCTCAGTCACTATCAGAATATCTAAAGGATCTGATTTGTGAGTTGAAATCTATGAGCACTGGATTTGTTGTAAATGGCAAGACCTTTTTTTTGACTGTGTGCTCTGTAAAATGTGATGCGCCAGCGAGAGCCTTCGTTAAGGGTATTAAGTCACACAATGGGTACAGTGGGTGTGATAAATGTGTACAGCCAGGCATTTACATTAATAATCGCTGACATTCCCAGAGCTTGATGCTAACATGAGAATGGAAATATCTTTTTTAAATGCAGAAGATGAAGACCACCATTTAAAGCATTCACCATTTTGTAAAACCTCTGTCCCTATGGTCAGTGGATTTCCACATGACTATATGCACTTAGTATGCTTAGGTGTGATGTGTCGTCTTCTTGATTTGTGGATCGGTGCTTGCGGAAAGTTACGTTGTCGTATTTCTTCCACACAGGTGAAATTAATTTCAGACAAACTGCTTGCACTCAGAAGTTATATACCTTCAGAATTTGCTAGAAGGCCAAGGGGCCTAGATGAGAGGTTGCGTTGGAAAGCCACAGAACTTAGGCAGTTCTTACTTTACACTGGTCCAGTAGTTTTGAGGGATTTTCTGCCTACTGAGGTTTATCACAATTTTATGCTGCTGTCTGTGGGCATATACATCTTCGCAAGTCCAACATACTGTTTCCTGTTAAATGACTTTGCCAACACTCTGCTTAGATCATTTGTTAAACATTTTGGAGAACTCTATGGTCATGGGTTTTTAGTTTATAACATTCATGGTCTGATTCATCTTAGTGATGATGTGAAGGTGCATGGACACTTAGATTTAATATCAGGGTTTCCTTATGAGAACTACTTAAAACAAATTAAAGGGATGGTTAGAAAACCTAGCTCACCCCTGCAACAAGTTGTACGCCGAATATCTGAACTTCATTCAAACAGTTTGAATGATGAGGAAGCATGTAAACCCAACAAAAAATTTAGAATGCTTCACTCAGATGGACCGGTTCCATCTGGCTTTACAGGAACAGTCTCCCAATTCAAAGAACTGGCAATTAATGACATTGTCATCAACTCATCAGAGAGGGACAGGTGTATAAAGTTGAACAACAAGATTGTCTTGGTTCAAAATATAATAATCTGTGAGTTCGAGGAATACATTGTTTACAAAGAATACAGACACATCACAAAGTTTTTTGACTATCCCATTGACTCCACAGAATTGGGAATTTGCTTTGTATCAGATTTGTCACCAAATTTGATGTGCTTTAAGTTAGACAGTAGTGTGCAAAAGTGTGTCCGGTTGCCTTTGGAGGTTGGATTTGTTGTTATTCCACTTTTACATGCAGATCCATTCTAGGTTGCAGTCTTGTTGAAAGGTTGTGGTGGTTGTGGTAGACAGCGAAATTTTAAGTTTTACATTATTTTTTATCTTGAAAAGAAATATTGATACTTTTTGTGCAGATCAACATCAAGTTTAAACTGCGGAGAGAGCCTGCCTTTCATAATCCCTGTAGGTGTGTATCCCATGTTTATACTAATATCTTGAGTTTTAAAGATCTTTAAGAAAAAGAGGTATACTTGTAGTTCATTTTTATAAGTATATTTAAGAAAAGCTCAAGTATATGCACTCTAAAAAATGATCTGCTGGCTTAACGTAAAAAAATTAAGGTAACAATTTGCATGGATCTTTTTAAGTTATTTCAGCTTAGCCACTATTGCGTAAATGCCACAAGAGTTCTCTAGTTAGGCAAACTCTATTACTTACGTACAAACAACATGATTTGCTTTGTCCTCTACAAGCTTAATTAAGTTGAACCAACTTAATTTTAATTGTTTAAAAATTACTCCATTTAGTTATTAAACCTTATTTTTTTACTTTTATTCTACTCAGAAATATCCATGCAAATTGTTACCTTAATTTTTTTGAGTACTAATAACTTACAATAACTTATAACTTACAATTATACAATAAATTACACATTGAAATTCCAGTTTTATGATCAAACTGTTTATTAGAACACCAGTCCACCATTCCAGACATTGACATTTCAATAGCAGACAAAATTGTTGCCTCCATAAAATAAATGACATAAAACACCCCTGTAAAACTGTCTCAAAAAGACTGAACATTTTGACAGTCATGCTCTGATTCAAGTTTGTTTGTGTTAAAGTGATAGTTCAGGTTTTTTTAAGTATGAAGTACATTGTGAGTGTATTACACACAGTGGACAGCAGTCAGCACATTCCTGCCACCGACACGCACGATAGGCTCAGTTTGTTTGTGTGATTTTGGTAAATCTGAACTAACCCGAACTAACACCAAAGTCACAAAATAACACAATTACACTTACTGATCAAGGCAGCAGGAGACCAGCAACTCCTGTGTGCTGTCAGGTAAAATTGCTGTTTTTGTCCATGGACACTAGTGCGCCAGAGCGATTGAAACAACAAGCAGTAGAACTTCACTTTCCTCACAGAAAAGGCTGTCTGATAGCAAAATAAAGCAGTAAACATATTCTTGATATAATGTACATTTAAACTGACATCAGTTTTATTAGGATGTAAAGCTCATCTTGCGTGCCGGTGGCCCCGTCTGCTTCTCCGTAGGTGGAGCTTACTGACTGCCATCTACTGTGTGTAATACACTCACTATACATATGTACCTCATACAGCCTCACTTCAAAAGACCCGAGCTATCCTTTTAAAGTGCATTATTTTGAACTAGGTGTACTTAATGCTTAACTCTCAACTTTACACCTACTGCCTACTGTACAGTATGTAACACAACACATTGCAAACAACAGTGGAACATTTCCTGTTTAATTTGAGTATAGCCTCACTCTTCACATTTTTTAGTACAACAGTTTACTTTTTAGTGACATTACCTTAGGACTGGATTTCAGATCATCCAGCTCGAGGAATATCTTTTGAAACACTTCAAAAGTGTTTTTCAGTTCTTTTGGGTAGCTGAGGTTGAGTGCATATATCAGCCCCATTAGCAAGGCACAGGCTCTGGGTACATCCAGGTCTGCTAGGACTTCTGTTCCTTCAAGTATGATCCTTGCGCTGGCTGGATCAGACGTTATGGCACCTCTGGTTACAATCTTCATCACTTCATTGGTAATATCCCCGCCACCATCCTGGTAGGTCAGAATCAATATAAATGTTTTAAGTAATCATACTTATACATGAGAGTAACACAAAATAGGGCTGCAACTAACAATTTTCTCGATTATCTGATTAGTTGTTTGGTCCAGAAAATGTCAGAAAATGGTGAAAAATGTCAATGTTTCTCAGAGCCCAATATGATGACCTCAAATGTCAAACATATTCAGTTTGCTGTCATAGAGGAGTAAAGAAACCAGAAACCATTCACATTTATGAAGCTAAAACCAGAGAATTTGGACTTCTTTTTCTTAAATAATTACTCAAACCGATTAATCAATTATCAAAATAGTTGCCGATTAATTTAGAAATCAATTAATAATAGATTAGATCGTAGCTCTAACACAAAGTATAGTCATGTCTGATTTACCTGCTCTTTGAAGAGATCCTCCTCCTTTTCCCTGAGATACACCACTAAGCCACGGATAGCGACCTCTCGCCTTCTCTCCACCAGTGTTAATTTTGACAGCAGATTTCAATTTAGTTTTAGTCATAGTCTTTTGACTAAAATGCAATTTTAGTTTTAGTCATATTTTAGTCATCTGTTTTGTTTTAGTTTTAGTCTAGTTTTAGTCGACTAAAAAGCATAAGATTTTAGTCGACTAAATCTACT